ATACGGCATTATTGTTATCCGTGCCTCGCTCTCGTATCAGGCGGGAAACGTTGCATCACGCAGACGACTTTTTCTGACACCCGTGATGTACTGCTTTGTCCGTGCGAAGTGACATTTGTCGTCTGTTACAACTGACGCTTCTGCCCGTGGTGACGAAGTCGAGTAACAGAGGGTGGTGTCATACCTAATTGACTCGAACACATCGGATCAGGACGGATTCCAAATTCCAACCACGTTCAATGCCAATCATAAAACCTAGGTCGCCATTGCGCAATTCTGCCTTGGACGTTTTTATTGCGACTCGGACATGGTGAAGAACCGCGACACTCTTTTTATGTCTGTTCATATTGTTTGATGAAATTGAGGGTTTTATTTGACAGGCCGGTTGTTTACAGGGCTAAATGTCGCCATGTGTGAGAGCGTTGCACGGGTGATCAGCTGGTATTTGAATTTAGCCAAAATTTTATTCATCTTAAACACTTTATTACAAACAGGAGATTTATCGTTTCGTGTAAATTACAGACCCCTTCACTTGGTCTTGTAAAAAAATATTGTCAGTTTGTTTTTGGTAATAAATAATTCATTGTCTTGATTGTGTCTCATTAAGACAATGTCTGAAGGTATGTTTGCATTCATAAAACGACAGAAATATACTTTGGGCTCAAGTGATGATGTATCAGCGCATGTTAGCATTCAGAATATTTACATTATGACATTATTTATATTGATAGTATAACTAGAAAAATAAACGTATGCGAAACTGGTTGAATATCTTACCCACAGGAAGTTAGTCTAACAGGAAGTCTGTTCGGGTGTTTTTCTTTTGTTTTTATTTTCCATTTTCCGACCCGAATAATGAAATAGCCATAACATTGTCGTATATAATTATGTGTCACGGCATGAACAACTGAATCGTTGAATATTGGCTTTATCTGTAGGTGATAATAGCACTTTACATACATGAGTATGCCCGTGCTATAGGACCCACAAAGGTTCGGGTTAGAATTAATCTTCAGCAACCCATGCTTGTTGTAAGAAGTAAGGTTATCTGGTACTCCTCGTTGACTTGGTTTTATGCATGTCATCGTATACTAATTGCGTAGATCGATGCTCATGAATTCATTTACTGGATTATCTGGTCCAGACTCGATTATTTTACAGTCAATCGTCATATACTTTAATATACAAGCAACCAACCGTGTAGACTTGCCCAAGTCTCTAAGGTAAAAAGTTAAGTGCTAATTTCTATTAAAAAAATAATAAATAACAGACTGGGTTCTTAGACTGGGGTCGGTTTATCTAGATTTGCCTCTTCGAAGGATAGAATTACTATACATCCATGGGATCAGCATTCAGTACAGCCTTGGAGAAAGGCTACCAACCGCACTATAGATGACGAAAGGACATTTTATATATGAATGTACGGAGCTGTGCTGTAGGTGACGAAAGGGCATTTTATATATGAATGTACGGAGCTGTGCTGTAGGTGACGGAAGGACATTATATACATGTATATGAATGTACGTGGCTGTGCTGTAGGTGACGGAAGGACATTATATATATGAATGTACGGAGCTGTGCTGTAGGTGACGGAAGGACATTATATATATGAATGTACGGAGCTGTGCTGTAGGTGACGGAAGGACATTTATATATATGAATGTACGTGGCTGTGCTGTAGGTGGCGGAAGGACATTTATATATATGAATGTACGGAGCTGTGCTGTAGGTGACGGAAGGACATTATATATATGAATGTACGTGGCTGTGCTGTAGGTGACGGAAGGACATTACATATGAATGTACGTGGCTGTGCAGTAGGTGACGGAAGGACATTATATATATGAATGTAGGTGGCTGTGCTGTAGGTGACGGGAGGACATTATATATATGAATGTACGTTGCGGTGATGTAGGTGACGGAAGCACATTGCATGCATGGATATGCCCGTGAAATTCGAGTGCGGTACCCAGGGGCGTTCAAATTGTAATTTATCAACAACGGAATCTGCTTTACGCAGCGTTTCAGTCATTGCGTGGCAAAAACCGGTGCTCACCGTCTGCAAAAACGAAACTTGTAAATACCCCCACCCATCCACACCCTCTTAAATGCTCGTTTCTAATAATGAGGTAATACACTGTAATTATGCATTGTGAAAAAAATAATTATGTTATTTAAACAGCATCGGCCAATAATAAATGTCGAAACATCAAAAAGCCCCGAAGGAATAAAGTGTTTATCTAAGCACACGAAATCTCTTCCTATCAAATATTACCACATTGGCCTCCCCTGTGTTACTATACTGAACTGATTGCATCAACACTCATCAACTCCTGTTCCACGGTCCACGGTGTCCTGATGGACGACAGGCCATTATTATATCGTCAATCCAAACGAGATGGTTAGCGATATGAACACGTCGACACGTTGGGTGCCGCCACTCCCACGATGACCCCAGGGGACTGAGTTGGGGGGCATTGTTACTTCATAAATAGGAGCTAAAACGGTAGCCGTGGCTTTATTCTTGGCGCTTATCTTATCGTGGCATCGGAAGAAGGCTCCGTCCGAAGCAGCGGACCATGCGCACAGCTGTGGTAGGCACGGAAACATGCGCGATCGGACTAATGGCCGTGGACGAGTGGGAAACGAAAACAATAAACTATGCAACTGAAACAGTTTCTGGCACCAGGCCACTGTTCCTCTGCGGCTTAGCTGCTAAGAAAAGCTGGCCGATATTCTCAATTTTTTCCTCCCAAACCTTTTCCTTTATTAAAATTACACGCCCCGTTAGCATGTTTTGTCAGTGAAAGCGAATTGTGCGTTAAGGGCACGTGCTCGGGTGTCGTCTGCCCGCGGAGGATGATGCAGACGACACCTGCGGGGCGCATGCGCCACGCGCCATTTCCCCTGCCACAGCTGACCCTTGACAGCGGGAGGCGAGATTTCTTACAAAGTGACCAAAACATTTCGAAACTAGCGTGTCGAATGAGTATCTGCCCCGAGGAGGCTATCCCTGCTTCAATTCTTGTAATGGGTTCTGATGATCATTTCACAGTACATAAAGCCGACGGGGCAAGACCGGCCGTCAGCGGGAAGCCAAGCGTGAGACGTCTCTTGAGGAATGGTTCATAACCTGCATGTGATAACAGGGTTCCAGCGGCCATCTTTATTCCATCGATCACACGGGTGATGGGCGCGCTATTATCCCCCCATCCGATTCTCTGATCCCTTGAACGAGGGGGAGCGGGTTAACGATGAATCTCCACCATAAAGCCGCCATCGTTACATGTTTATTTTGTCAGGAAACGTACGCACAACATAAATAAAAGTGGTTTTCCATTTAGTAGAGCGTTTGATGGTTCCGCCATAGCGCGACGGTCACCGTAGCCGCCAGATCCGAGTCGGTGCAAGCAGCAGAAGACATCAAGATGAAAAACACCCACAGTGACAGCTCATTGACTCCACTAAAATAACAATCAGGAAGGGGCTCCTATTTACCCCTCTACGCTTGGATAACAGTATATTTACGAGGTGGATATGCATTACAGGAGAGGCTGGTAATGATACTAACATTAAAACCATGTGTGAAGTCATTATAGCAGCGTCAGGAAGACATACGCAGGGGAACGACTAGCGTTCCCGCGAACTACTGATCTCTAAGCATGTCACTTGCTATGTAGTTAGCCTATAAACAGACAGTTGTATAACCTGTACATCCCGGACGGGGAAACCAGGATTTATGTCAGCGGGTTGTCAGGGTTGTAAATCAGGAGGGTAACAACCAACATATGACGTGTACATGAGCACTATGCCATTACGACAAAACGGGGGCCGATATACAGGAGGGGTACACATTGGTCTCACATTATTTAGTGGATTCTTCTTGAAATATGTTTTTTTCGAATTCACACGCTATCTCGAATTGTACCCAGTTTTGATAACCGCGTTGTCACTCATTGATTGTGTTGATAACTCGAACTTAACATGTTATCTCGAATGTATATGTATCTTGGTTGCATATTTACCTCGACGTACCTCGATACTTTATCAAAGGCGTACAGTATGCTCTTATCGGTTACGTCATATGGTATTCGGGGCGAAAACGCGGTTGCAGCGACATGTATGCTTAAGTCGAAATTGGTATCCCGACCCGTGATAGTAAAACGTTCCCGGCCCCAGCACAAACGTATATAGAATATATCCACGTTGTTCCTCTCTGCTGAACTCCGTGTTCGGATCTGAGGACGAGTATCTTGATTCTGGAAAACACAGTTCCTAGTGGAGTAAGCAGGAACGCATCGCTGACTGTTTTAGTTTGTATAACAGTGCTTGACACGAGCGTGTTTCGACCCTTTTGTTCGTGACATGAACTGACATTTCACCATGACCTTTTAGTTGATCACCTACAAGAATAGAAAATTGGTTTAGCGCTTGAAATTTGTACCACATTTTATCATCAAAACGGACACGTTATATCCCCTTGCTTTAGCGTCATCCTACATATCATATATTGTGTAAAAATTCAGAACAAGACAGTTCAGGCTTAAAAATTCCTTCCAAAATGAAGTGTGATTGTGGTTTTTCTTTTCTGTTAGGTCTCGAGTTATCTCCCTTGGACCATAAACCTTCTAACCGCACGTGAAATGGCAGGAGGCCTCTGAAATCTGTTACCCCAACACGTGCTCGTTGCTTAGAAAAAATACACGTCGATGGTTGATTTGGTTCATGTACTGCACACCTCAGAGGCCTTGACCTTAGACACTACAAGCACTTTAACACAACTGTAAATAAAAGTGAGAGAACTGGGCTTTTTAACGCTGTTATTGTAAATGCATTATCGTACATATGACAAATCCAAGCATGTAAAAAAAACCGATCAACTGACATGTATATTTTTGAAAAGCTAATTCTTCCGCCGTCGCGAGATTCAAAATGCTTTTAACGACAACACGTTCTACAAATTACATGTTCTGACGTCATGTAATGTTAGCGAAGTGTACCCAGAAACCTCCTTTGTTGACGTGGAAGCACTTACAACATCGCTCAATGTAAGCATGGTTCATGATATGATGTACTGTCTCTTTTTGAAATTGCCTAATTGAAACTTATACGTGGTGTGCTCGTGTGTGGGACGCGAGTTCCATTAACCTCTTATCCACAACTTATCTTCAACACATGGTGGTGAAATTCCGCATCGGGGGAGAGACTTCCCATGCTAAATCATGTGTAAATAGTTGTAACGATGACGCGAGGAGACCTCGTGCTTCCTGAAACCTATTTTCACAGCAAGAACCCATCTCGCTGTCAGACAAATGCCTCTCTCGCTGTTTGACTAGACGGAGTTTGATTTGCATGATTGATGTTTGACAGGAAGACTCCTGACTGCACGGGTAATTTCAATTGTGCGTGCTAAAGATTGGAGACGAGCAAAAATGAGCGCATTCTGGCGGCGGCCATGTTGACAGGCCCGCAGCAGGAGGCCCGGATGTTCTTCTGCACGTGCAGCACGTGTGACGTAACACCACTGACCGCTACAGAAATGACTGAGTCGTTACTGACCGGTATCCGTGTCATAATGGTTTTATTACTCCGCGAAATTACTAAACATCCGCCGGTTCGGATAGTGTTTCACTTAAGATTGTTTTCACAGTGTTTGTGTTAGATTCGAATTGGGATTGTTTACAAATGATGATAGAACCAGTCATTGATCTCTCGGCAATGAACACGTGTTCAGAGCAGTGTTCTTTCATTTGGGTACATTCAAAAAAAATATTATGTTTTGTTTCTACATAAAATTATATTCGTATGTTCTTTTTTTTATGTCAGATTCATCTGAATGTCATTTAATTGTTAGTTCTTATCTGAATTTGATGTGGGCGGTGGGGTAGCCTAGTGGTTAAAGCGTTCGCTCGCTCACGCAGTCGACCCGGGTTCGATTCCCCACGTGGGTATAATGAGTGAAGCCCATTTCTGGTGTCCCCCGTCGTGATATTGCTGGAATATTGCTAAATTCACCCACTGAACTTGATGTACATCACAAAGAAATAGTTCCGATGGTTTTTCATGGAACCAACACATACCGGGCCACTATTTATGGCTTGTCTCCCTTTGACTGTCATGTTTACTCCCGTGTCTGCACATAATTTATTCGACAAACGCGAAAAGAAAATGTCAAGTAAGTATCATACATGTAATCTGTTGAACTGACGCTCTATATAGTTACAAAGCCTCTGCTATCGTAAGTGCATATCTGGATTCAGTTTACACAATCATATAATAATTGAATCTATTGAAATCTGAACTTCTTTCATTTTGTTAGTTGTTATGAGTGACTGTGGAATTAAGTGAGTTACGTCTTGCGGGCTTTTGACATATGTCACTCAGACGTCTGAAATATACATGGCACGTGTCACATATGCCACGACATCGCTCACTGACTCCATGTCACGTGGCAGATATTGTCACCGTAATTCTATTCTTAGCAAGAGGGGTAAAGAAATAATTCAATTTTGTTGGCAATTCGACCCTTACCCCGCATGAAAACTCTACAATTATTTTGTATTTTCAGACGATAATTGGATAAATCTCATACTCCAGTTTCAGATGATATTTCAATGTCTGCTGTCACTCCAAACATGTGGGAATAGGGCGGGAGAAGAAACCCCAGGGGGACACGAAAGGCTACCAAGAAGACACAGGGGTCCCAAAATACAGTGCAGACATCTGATTGCTTTCAAAATCCAGCTGTGAAAATGAGTCGACCCCTTTCCGATTGTCGTAATATGTACGACATTCGATACCACTTCTGGCTGTAGCTAGCCAAGATGGCTGAATAGTGTACCCTTGCCCGTTATAAATACCACCCGCTTTCTGTGGATCCTTTCACAGGACAAAATTAGCCGGCTTCATCAATCTTTTCACGGCTTGAAGGTCTTTTATTCAGCCGAAGTCACTTAGGAATCCCAACGAAATATCTTTCGCCGTTGGCGGACATTTAAAACCGTTTAACGACATGGTGACCTGTGTAGCATTACCTTCAGAATTGCATTGTTTCGGATAGGATTTCAATATATTGATATAATGATAGGTTGTTGTCTTTCAGTTGGACTCGTAAGCGTTGTTGCAGGGTTTGCTACATCCGTAAAGCACCCTCGACCGCCTTCCGTCCCTGCTTCACTTAATGAATAGTGTCCCTCGAATACGCCTTTTTCATTTCCGAGTGAACGGAACACGCAGTCAGGAATGATGACATAGAAAAACGTCTATCCCTCCAACAGCACTGATTGCAAAATTACCCGTCTCAAATTTCACATTGAATTAAAACGTTGAATTTTCCACGCATGTAGGTGACATATCACGGTATTCCACTTTCACCGTAATGTCCAAGTGCTGATAACTCACCATGTGTTTCGCGCAAGATGCTGTCTACACGTTAGCATTTTCCAGTCAATCCCGACTCTTACAAATGAAAAGAGCTCCTTTAAAACATGGTAGATAGACGATTTTCTTGTTATTAATGTATCACTGACAACTACACCCATTGTTTTCTCTGAGTATGTACTTGTGCTTGAGGAGTTTAGTCAAAAGGTCAGAGAATGTTTGGGTATCTTTGTGGCTGTGGCATTTGTCGTCGAGCAAGTGAAGCTTGGTTTATAGATATACAAAATGCACTTTTTAACGCGTATGTATGGTTGTTTGCGCTAGTGAGTGAGTGGGTGAGTGAGTATGGTTTTACACCGCTTTTAGCAATATTCCAGCAGACATCAGAAATGGGCTTCACATATTGTTCCCGTGTGAAGAATCGACCCCGGATCTTTAGTCTGACGAGCGGACGCTTTGACCTTGAGGCTAACCCCACCTCCCCGTTTGCAATAGTATATACATGTGAAGGTGTTATTGTGTTAGCTCACTGAGACACGTGGATGCATTATATGATGCGTACCCCCCTCAGTCACATACACCGACTACAAGCCGACCAGTCCCTGTTTAACGATGGGCGCCAGACAGAGTTACAACAAGTACCATCTTTCAACGTCTTTCTGATGAGACATGAAGTGACCTAGACTAACATCTAGTCTCTGAAATGAACATTTTTTTACAGAAAAAAACCTGTTGATAAACATTAATCATAAAATATAATGAACAGGAGCCCAGAGACTTTCTTCGTTTTCAGAGACTGTGGAAACCTAGACTTGCCACATATTCTAGACTTGCATGGTATTTCTTGGATATATTTGTTTCAGGGTCTAGCAGTGGCCTTCAAACCCGAGTTTGATTTAACTTGCGGAATACAATGAAAAATCTTCCGGCGGTGCCCGGCTTTTCCATGGCTTGTTCATTGCTAAACGCCACCATTTACCAAATGATTTCAGTCATATATCCTAGCAATGTTCTTCACTTCTTTGGTTGTAGGGTGGATCTCCATATATCCTAGGATGGTTCTTCACGAGCTGTGTTGTAAGGTGGATCGCTACACGTCCTGAGAAGATTCCTCACGGGCTGTGTTGTAAGGTGGAAAGATTTTTCACGGGCTGTGTTGTAAGGCGGATCAGTATATGTCCAAGCAAGCTTTATAACGGGCTGTGTAGTAAGGTGGAAAGATTCCTCACGGGCTGTGTTGTAAGGTGGAAAGATTCCTCACGGGCTGTGTTGTAAGGTGGATCTCTACACGTCATGAGATGATTCTTCACGGGCTGTGTTGTAAGGTGGAAAGATTCTTCACGGGCTGTGTTGTAAGGTGGATCTCTTCACGTCCTGAGAAGATTCTTCACGGGCTGTGTTGTAAGGTGGATCTCTTCACGTCCTGAGAAGATTCTTCACGGGCTGTGTAGTATGTGAAGAATAGCAAGATTTTGACTTACACACGGTGTGTTAAAATTACCTTCTGATCGATCTTGAATGACCCTTTGTTTGATTACAGGCAGATTTTACATCAACGTCATATCAAGTGATTTACATTTGTAATTTTTCATCACATTTTCAATGGTACCTTTAATATTTCTCAGAATTTTAGTACGAAATAAACAACATAATTTATCAACTTACACAGCATTAAAATCTTTGTAAATGGGCGTAGATAATAACAGACAATGCAGAACTTGCATCAAATACGCCTTGTTCTTAAACTATTTTTGAAAATCGGATATATTATCCACAAAGGGCTGTTATTATTGCTACCTTAACACTTAAATAAAGCGCTCGCGTCCGAAATGTATGTTATTTAATCAGAATTATATGCCATCATCTATTTCATTCACATCAATTTCAAACAATGCACAGTTTCTGGCAGTATGAAAGCCAGCTGTGTCTCATAACAACGCTTATTTCAGTCGGGGTCACTTCTTTAACATATTCTTCAGCACATTCCCAAATTCCTTCCATCGCGAATAGTGGCGTCACAAAATCCAATCAGCTGACTTAATAACCAGTTTCCAATTTTTCAAATCTGGCAAATTTACAAAAAGATTGTATCAATTTCAATTTAACAATTTGGGAGGCGCGACCACGCAGCAATTGAGACAAATACTGATTTTTCTATGTCTGATTGGGAGAATTATCATATGATATCGACCCTGTGTTTTCCGCCCCCCAATTTCTCCCCGTTGTGCGAGATCATCATCGATCAGTTTTCAACTGTATGAGAAAAATATGCTCGATCAAGCCGGGTACAGGTTCCTTGTTATCAATATCGGACGAGCACTGGGGCCGGAATTCTTCCAAAACACATAATTAGCATGACTACCAAATTATTTCGTATTGTCTTGTTTTTTCGCAGATCACACTGAATAGTTTGATGGATGCTGACTCATCTGTATTGGGAGTAGTCTTGTTACGACAGAACTATTATTTTCCTTAAAAGTTCATTTAAAACATAAAATTGCAATTCCGGCAGTTTCCCCCTACTCTATCATGTGAGGTGTCTACTGAGTCGAATCAAACAGATTTATATGTCCAAATAGACGCTTACATGATATCAGTATATATGCCTACATGATATCAATAAATACGCATACATGGTATCGACATAAATGTATATAGTGTCATTAAACATTACATATGGATATAAATATGTACATTGTGTAATATCGATATAAAATGGTGGCAATATAAACACCTGTATGGCGTCGTCAGTATAAATGTGCGTTCATCGTGGCAATATAATTAAACATATAAACATGGTGTCAGTATAAATGTTTTCATGGTGGCAATATAAACACCTGTATGGCGTCAGTATAAATGCGTTCATGGTGGCAATATAAACACCTGCATGGTGTCAGTATAAATGTGTTCATGGTGGTAATATAAACACCTGCATGGCGTCGGTATAAATGTGTTCATGGCGGTAATATAAACACCTGTATGGCGTCAGTATAAATATGTTCATGGTTGTAATATAAACACCTGTATGGCGTCAGTATAAATGCGTTCATGGTGGTAATATAAACACCTGTATGGCGTCAGTATAAATGCGTTCATGGTGGTAATATAAACACCTGTATGGCGTCAGTATAAATGCGTTCATGGTGGTAATATAAACACACCTGTTCATGGTGGTAATATAAAACACCTGTATGGCGTCAGTATAAATGCGTTCATGGTTGGTAATATAAACACCTGTATGGCGTCAGTATAAATGCGTTCATGGTGGTAATATAAACACCTGTATGGCGTCAGTATAAATGCGTTCATGGTGGTAATATAAACACCTGTATGGCGTCAGTATAAATGTTCATGGTGGTAATATAAACACCTGCATGGCGTCAGTATAAATGCGTTCATGGTGGTAATATAAACACCTGCATGGCGTCAGTATAAATGCGTTCATGCGTCAGTAAATGTAATATCAGTATAAACACGTTCATGGTGGTAATATAAACACCTGTATGGCGTCAGTATAAATGCGTTCATGGTGGTAATATAAACACCTGCATGGCGTCAGTATAAATGCGTTCATGGTGGTAATATAAACACATGCATGGTGTCAGTATAAATGCGTTCATGGTGGTAATATAAATAAAGGCGTTCATGGTGGTAATATAAACACCTGCATGGTGTCAGTATAAATGCGTTCATGGTGGTAATATAAACACCTGCATGGTGTCAGTATAAATGTGTTGATGGTGTCGATATAACTGCTGACGTCGTATCGACATTAAGGCACCTGCATCAACACTAAGGGCGTTAAAGCTAGGAGTGCAAGATTAAGATGACCCCATGTTTATGGTCCCCCTCATGACTCACGGTGTCTGCTTAAAATATGCTAGTGTCCAGTTATATGTGGGTATAAAGTCTTCATGTTGTTTACGCAGTAATCAATCGGTCAATCTTTATTCAGAATCGAAGGTCACAGGCCCATAGTACAAGTTTATACAAAGTTCAACAGCAGAATGGATTTCTCTTCATAATGGCATGATAAATAAAAAAAACCCAATATTTTCAATTAATATACGGTTAGCGGTTGACAATAGCTGGGTAAATATGTGTTTTGGCGGTTGTTACGCAGAAATCCTTTCCACATCTGGTTGATGTCACGATGTGAGTGTGGCTGTCAAATGACAGCCTCGGTGTAGTGTAGATTCACATGCGAACTTTATGACAGAATATGTTCAGATGTTTAACGTATTACCAGAGACCATATACCGATATGGTCTCTGGTATTACTAATACAAATGTTCCGTAGATGTGACATTAACGCGCAACATAGCCTAGATCTTACAGTAACAGCAACATAGCCTAGATCTTACAGTAACATGAATATAGCCTAGATCTTACAGTAACATGAATATAGCCTAGATCTGACAGTAACAGCAACATAGCCTAGATCTTACAGTAACATGAATATAGCCTGGATCTTACAGTAACAGCAACATAGCCTAGATCTTACAGTAACATGAATATAGCCTAGATCTTACAGTAACATGAATATAGCCTAGATCTTACAGTAACATGAATATAGCCTAGATCTTACAGTAACATGAATATAGCCTAGATCTTACAGTAACAGCAACATAGCCTAGATCTTACAGTAACATGAATATAGCCTAGATCTGACAGTAACAGCAAAATAGCCTAGATCTTACAGTAACATGAATATAGCCTGGATCTTACAGTAACAGCAACATAGCATAGATCTTACAGTAACATGAATATAGCCTAGATCTTACAGTAACAGCAACATAGCCTAGATTTTACAGTAACATGAATATAGCCTAGATCTTACAGTAACAGCAACATAGCCTAGATCTTACAGTAACATGAATATAGCCTGGATCTTACAGTAACATGAATATAGCCTAGATCTTACAGTCACATGAATATAGCCTGGATCTTACAGTAACAGAAACATAGCCTAGATCTGACAGTAACAGCAACATAGCCTAGATCTTACAGTAACAGCAACATAGCCTAGATCTTACAGTAACATGAATATAGCCTAGATCTTACAGTAACAGCAACATAGCCTAGATCTTACAGTAACAGCAACATAGCCTAGATCTTACAGTAACATGAATATAGCCTGGATCTTACAGTAACAGCAACATAGCCTAGATCTTACAGTAACATGAATATAGCCTGGATCTTACAGTAACATGAATATAGTCTAGATCTTACAGTAACATGAATATAGCCTAGATCTTACAGTAACAGCAACATAGCCTAGATCTTACAGTAACAGCAACATAGCCTAGATCTTACAGTAACATGAATATAGCCTAGATCTTACAGTAACATGAATATAGCCTAGATCTTACAGTCACATGAATATAGCCTGGATCTTACAGTAACAGAAACATAGCCTAGATCTGACAGTAACAGCAACATAGCCTAGATCTTACAGTAACAGCAACATAGCCTAGATCTTACAGTAACATGAATATAGCCTAGATCTTACAGTAACAGCAACATAGCATAGATCTTACAGTAACTGCAACATAGCCTAGATCTTACAGTAACATGAATATAGCCTGGATCTTACAGTAACAGCAACATAGCCTAGATCTTACAGTAACATGAATATAGCCTGGATCTTACAGTAACATGAATATAGCCTAGATCTTACAGTAACATGAATATAGCCTAGATCTTAAAGTAACAGCAACATAGCCTAGATCTTACAGTAACAGCAACATAGCCTAGATTTTACAGTAACATGAATATAGCCTGGATCTTACAGTAACATGAATATAGCCTAGATCTTACAGTAACATGAATATAGCCTGGATCTTACAGTAACATGGATATAGCCTAGATCTTACAGTAACATGAATATAGCCTGGATCTTACAGTAACAGCAACATAGCCTAGATCTTACAGTAACAGCAACATAGCCTAGATCTTACAGTAACAGCAACATAGCCTAGATCTTACAGTAACATGAATATAGCCTAGATCTGACAGTAACAGCAACATAACCTAGATCTTACAGCAACATGAATATAGCGTAGATCTTACAGTAACAGCAACATAGCGTAGATCTTACAGTAACAGCATCATAACCTAGATCTTACAGTAACATGAATATAGATAAGCTCTTACAGTAACAGCAAGATTGCGTAGAATTTACAGTCACAGAAATAAACCGTAGATCTTACAGTCACAGAAATAAACCGTAGATCTTACAGTCACAGAAATAAACCGTAGATCTTACAGTCATTAGAGAACACACGTCACAAGCATAGTCTGTCTCAGCCCCTGAACCACATTATTTTCCCTACAGACTAGCCTTACCTGCAATGCTGAAACCCTAAATGAAGCAAGTCTAGATTTCCCCAGGTTCAATGGGGCTCCTTTTTAATTGAAATGGTTTTATTTGTTACAATCAAAATTATATATATTCAGAGACTGGACTATTCACAAGAAGAATGTAGATACTACAGCAGAACAAGGCAGGAGGAATGTGACGATGACACGTTACTACAGTGTATATAGCTGTAACAAGCTACACATCGGATGTAGGAATAAAACACACAGACATGTACTTACAATAACAACACAGTGTAGGTGGAAGACTAAAACAAGAGAGTGTGAACTAACACAAATGATAAAGTGTAACACCAGCAATATAGTGTAAATATATACACTAACAACACAGTCTACTTGTGGCACTAATAACAATAAAGTGTCAAATAACAATAATAATCAGACTAATGTAGTGTAGATGTTACAATAACAACAACATATCGGGCATTTAGCAATAGGGAGTGAGTTTA